ATCTATACAATTTAATTAAAATTTGTATTAGTATGAGGAGATTTGTGAAGTTTTTAGAATTTTTTGAGTTTAAATCATGAATTGATCTTAGCTACAGTAATAATAAAAAAGTGAATAAAAGTGGATAACTGTTATATCCGAATACGGCAACCTTCAGTGGTTGGTTACTCCTAGAATTTTTGTAAGGATATACGACTCGTGAAATTCAATCATGTCATAAGTGAGACAGTTCTCCAGTGTAAACAATATCATGAATTAACTGAAGTTAGACATTGTCATCGCTGATCACCGGCTAAGTGGTTTCGATATTGAGTGTCCGCCAGCGAGAATAAACGCCCTAGGTTCGATTTCTGTATACGAGATCGTAAATATTCACTGATGTATAGTATTATATTTGGATGAAGCAGGTATCCAGTGTTTCAAGGTTTCTAATGGTGGTTTAACTAAGTTCAATTTGTGATTTAAACTATAATACAGTATTAATAAAAATGTCGGCGTATTTAATCATATTCCGAATTCAAATATTTCAGTTAACTAGGGTTGCACATTTGAATCATTTCCTGAAAATTTGTCATCTAAACATTCACTGACTACTAAGCAACGTGTTTAGAAGCATGGATGAAAGAATGCACTTAGTTTTTTTGTTATAACGCAATATAAAGAGCACATGTAGTTCTGTTAAGTTGATGAGCTACTTTTTAAAAGTTCCACATAATTTCATAGATATAATAATGAATTATTTACGTAATTTACAATATTTTATCATTATTCCTTACAGCTTGACAATGTACAGTTAAATTTTTTTGTATGATGTCATGCAAGGTGGTGTCTACTGGATCTTGTTTGAATGTGAAGAGATTTGAGATCACTGTTATCTATGAAGCATTTTTTGTATTATATCAGAACTACTAAACATAATGTACTTAACTTTGCTGAGTAATGTTTAGTAGTAAGTTTAAATTATCTGGTCTAATCAGGTTAATTGTGACGGCAATCATTCTATTTTCAATGCTTAATAAAAGTGCAATATCTTGGAGGGTCGTGGATGCGTACTACTGAGGAGTCCTGTACTGGGAAGAAACTGCTGTCCAGTGTTTCCAGGTTTTTAATGATGGTCTAACATTGATCCATTCATAATATCAATCCAAAGCAAAATTGTACGATTACGTCATTTGAATAAACCTATTTTTCTCTCAGTTTTGTTCTACTTTCTCTAATGCAATCGGTATGACAATATGAGTTTCTCAATTTTCCATTTGGTAATTCTTTTTTTAACATCATAAAATATGAATGTAAATAACTTCAGTGAGAAAAGTTATGTTATTAGATTAATTTTTACTTCAGTGCATTTTTACACAGAATTAAATTTATGAAAAGCTATTAAAGTCTATTTATTCTGCTTAATTAGAAAAAAGCATCATTGATAAATGCAAAAAAACCAATCTTTTGTCTTAGCTATATCGAATAAGTGGAACAGTGCTTATGAGATATACACAGCAACAAACTAGAGGAAAATACATTAGAGGTTGGTTGGACGCATATTGTAGAAAGCATCAAACTGTATCTCAAAGCAAGCAAGAACTTGAAATTCTCAATTCAAAAGGAAATGAGAAAGAACCAGAGAACGCAACGCCTCAGGAATTTAAAGCAGACATCAAAATAATGAATAATACTTGGAAAGAACTGGAAAGCAGAGCTCAAGACAGAGTAGATTGGGAATTCCTGTTCAGTGACCTACGCTCTACTAAGATTAACAAACCTAAGTAAATTATCGAGAAAGTAAGCAAGCCAATGAATCATTGATACATGATTGCTTTTGTTTTGGACCAGGTAAAATGACACACAAAAACATTCACACGTAGATGGATTTGTGGTGTATGCCACTTATGCAGACAGATATAAGTAGTACGTAGCTACAATTTGGAAGTGGAATGCCTGGAAGTAGAAGATTGAAATGTAGAAAAAAGAGAAGGAGTCAGAGAGGAATTGGAATAACACCCAGATCGTTAGAATTAAGGAGTATGTACAGGATAACCAAAGGAAGATGTGTAAATAATATATCTAATCTATAATTTTCTTATTTTAGTAAGTCACTATTTAGTTATGCATCAAACAATAAATTGAAATTCCACACCTGAGTTCTCGTTCACTACAAATGTATGTGAATAATACTTATCCCAATGAAACCAAAACTCTCAACAGTTCATCTTTTACAGATTATTGTAATTTTATATAAATGCTAATCATATCCTTACAATTATAGACAAATAATTATGACATTTCCCAACTAGTTAATTATACTGAACGAAAATAATTGAAATAAATGTATTGAGGGAGCATCCATAATAAAACGCTAAAATTAATGAGCAGACGTCTCACAATCAACATATACAAAATGATAGAGAACATAATAAAACAAATGAATATGATTGAATTCTATGGTTAAGTTAATTTTCTCAAGAGATTAAGACTGCCAGTCATAGAACATTTCAATAGAAATTCTAGATTATAGTATAGTATCAATGATTTGTAATGACAGAGAAAAAGGGAGAGAGAAGAAAGGCAAGTGAAAAAAGAGTAATGACGATGAATTGAACAATACTAGTTAAAATAAATGACATGCGTATGAAGAAAAATAGGTTGGTTAATAATCGGACAGAGAGTTTCCTAACCAGACAAACAAGAGTGATTTACTAATTTACTTAGAAACTATACGATTATTCTCAGTAAAAAGAATTTTGGGAATTACTGAATGTTCTTGATAGTGTAAACCTATCCAAGTTTGAAATCCATTAACAACTAAAAATTCATGCAAAATTGTTTCGTCCTATTATTGGGCTCAGCAGCCGGTATCAACGGGCACTAATGGGGGTCGGGCCCAAGACCTAGATGTCTTTCATTGAGCACCCAAATGTTTGACCATTGAGCCAGAATTCGACTGTGCATGTTTAACTTCAATCAACCAGTTTCACACCAAAGAAGATGAAAGGTGACTGTGCAATATCGTTAACTGGTTGAAGTTAGACATTTGCACCGTTGGATCCAGGTCAATGAACTAAAGGCTGCGCCTTCACGTGCAAGACTGGAGGCCTTGGGTTTGATACCCTTTAATGAGGTTGTGGATGCATAGTGTTGAGATGTTTTGTGTTAGAAGGCAATAGCATTCCATTACCTTCTGAATTTAAGAGGATTTCGAACATAGGTTAGTTTGTAATATCTGTAACAAGTGATTGTTATTTGTTTAAAATTTACCTATTTCTCAGACGAAATTTTTAATATTTAACATACTACTATTCATTCGTAAAGGTTTACATTTCTCTGTTGTTGCCTTTTAATTTCTTTTGGCCTATTTGTATATTGAACGGACTGACTCAATATTACTACTTAGTCACAAGTATTTAGCAATGTTAGATACAGCTAGTATTTACTATCCATTTTTCTGAAATAATACTATTCAGTTATTAGTGTTAACCAAAAGTTACCTATTTTGTTATATGTTTTACGTTTGCTAGTCTAATTAACTGATTAATTCACAATAAATAATTAGTAAAGAATGTTTATTGCAGAGTTATATGGCGTTGATAGAAAATTTCCTTATAGGTGGATATTTACTAGATTATTGGAAGTCAGAAAGCTTAAAATCTGTCATTTAGAATGTCTTAAAAATTGATATTCATTTATTTGTAATCTAGTTCAGTATTTTTCTCCTAGTAAAAGGAGTTTGTTGAGGATGTTTAGTATTTTAGTTTATGTCATGACGCGATTTTAGAGAATCGCTGTAAACCAGAAAGCATTGGGCAGCTGTTGCTTTCTAGTACAGAACTCCTCACCTATGTGGATACACATCTCTACCACATATTTCAGGCCTGATATCTGTTGTGTAACGTTTAGACTGCTGAATCGGCATCCATTAGTCGTTGGTGATTAGCCTTGATTGGTGACTCACACATTACTAGTGACAAGCTATAATCGTTGGATTTCAGTCATATCGGGTTTAAGTTAATTGCTCACCAATGGTGTTAAAATATAGTTAAAAATATTGCAAATTGAAGATAGAAACCTAAACCATTAGATGGCAACTTGGTGATTCAAATATTAAACGCTCTCTATGAGACTTGAAGATTCTATTTTAGATCTCCAATGGAATCGTACATGTACACCAAACTCGAAATAAAAAGTTGTTTAGTTTTTCATTGTTTGTTAGATGGTATTTAACAGGAAAATTTAGATTGAGGTCTCATGTTATTTGACACTACTTAGCAAGGTATATTTGTAATCTCGGCTGAACCAATGCTTTCTAAATTATATGATCCTGTGTCGAATAGCTCCTAAGTCAAAGAAATGACCACTGTGCTATCTGAGTTGTGACTAACCTTGCTGTTTCCAGTAGTTGTGTAACTAATGTCAGTCAATGATTTAAACCATAGAATCGAAATATACATTCCTAGAGGTCAAACTTTAATTAAGTCATCCACTATTTCACAAATTGAAATTGTACAAATAAATAAACAGACATTTTTCGGTTTTATAGTTCAGTACACATCAATCCTGCAATTAATAACAAGGTTACTTACATTATTTACAAATATGTTTATATTTTCTCCAGTTAACATTTACCTTATTGTTCAAAATCTAGTAGTTGATATTAGCAGAATATTTTACTTAACAGTAAAAAACTACTTATTTTCAATTATAATGAGAGAGAGGTTTTGTGGATATTATAGTGATTTCATAGTTGAAATCATGAGTCGAATGAAGCTAGACCACCATGGAAAACCTGGAAACATTAGATGGCCGTTTCGTTCTAGTATGGAACTCCTCAGCAGTGCGACTCCACGATCCCATCGCGCGAGATTCAATTGACTCATAAATTCAACTATTAAATTATTTTCAATTGTTTAGTATTCAACAAGATTACTCATTAAAGATAGTTACTTGCACACACACAAGAAAAAAACAATCAACTATTAACAACTAGAAAATGATGTCGTTAATCTTACCTCTCGATCTTCACGGTCACATTCAAATCTAAAATAGAAAAAACACGAGATAAATGATGAAGAAATGTATTGAATGAAATGAACTTTCCAATTTATTATCTACAGGAGATAAGCTGGTGACAGTATATCTCAATAATTGTGTCTTTGATTATCTCACCAGGTGTTTTAAGTCCTTGTTTGTAGATACACCTAAGTGATAAATACCAACTAAAATACATTGAATGTTCAAAGCTTCTTACAGTTTAATATCAAATAACCAAGTGAATAGTCGTTTTCTTTTGCCATACAAAAGATACGTTTCTTTAACCGTAGGAATTTTATTATTGTTTATTACTTCATAAAATATTAAATATTTTATTTTGATAGTTACAACTAGAATAATATTATTGTACATTCCATGTACAGTATTTCCATGTATCGTTTACATTACTAATAAAATCATTTAAGGCGGCTTTAATTTATGTCCAAAGATGTATATCTTCAATTTATTCCCAACATGTTTTGTGATAATTGATATGGCTTAATTTTCAGATTAGTTAGTTATATGTTAATCAATTCTTTCTCACAATTTACAATAATGTAGTTAGAATCAAATGGTGGGCGACCTGCGCTCTTCAACGAGGAGCAACAGGCGTAAGTAAGTTTGAATGAAATGCACTGAAGTGATAGAATCTATAGATTACAAATAATCCAACTGTTTGTAATATGATCAAGAAAAACTTTAATAAATTGTTTAAAGTCAGGAAAATTTGTGTTTCCAAAATAAAAAGAGATAATGAACATTAAGTATTGGTTATAATTTTTGAGAAAAAATAACAAGAGGAATTAAGTTCGTTTATATACTATTGGATAAATAGATTATTAGTTCTAATTCCATTTTAGTCGTTATTTTTTTAACCATAAGCTAATAGATCAAGGTTGAAGAAATACCGAGAACTAAAAAGTACTGGACGATTGTTCCATTCAGGTATAGGACTTCTCAGCAGTGTTGACCCACAATCCTGCACTTAAAAATCAGACCCGGATAGTTTGATCTTGCTTAATGTAACTTCATATCCAGAACAGTGATTCGTGATCAAATGAGGTACAAATCTAACTTCAGTCTGTTTAAGATAGTGAGTGATCATCTTCCATTGTTTACAGTGAGTACCTTCCTCGCACTCGACATGGTTGAAATCCTTTGGTCACAGTTCCTCACTTGAAATCCGAAAACATTCCTCTCGAAGTCAACCACTAGTGAGCTCATAACAATTGACAGTATGGTTTAAAAGTTAAGCGTTCGCGAGCGGGATGGAACTTCTTGGGTTTACTTTCCGCTTGCGAGATTTTGGATACATACTACTCAGGGCCGAAATGGTCATAAAATGCTTTCGTATTTTCAATGGTTATCCAAATTTGATCGGCTTATGATTTTATTGAAATTCAACAATAAGCTGATAATTTACTCTTACGTGATTTTTATATGTTAACAAAATGAAAGTGTTATGGTATTGGTCATAGTTACCAAAATGTATCAATATGAGATTTGCTTTGATATTATTACTGACAATGACATAGTAATGTGGAACTCTATAGTTTATAATTGTCATAGTCCATTTTTATTCATTGTCACTTTAAATTTTAAAATAGGTGTATTATTCTACAGAGGACAGTTTTCATGTTTATAAATGGGGATAGTTACGGTGAGACTATAATTTACGGACGACCTTTAAGCGATTCTGCATTGACCTTGAGAATTTTACCTACTTACGAGAGTTAAATGAGGGCTACAAATCAGTGTAAGAAATCATGATTATGATTTACAGCTGGACATTAAGGTGATGAGTTAGATTTAGGGTTTTTATCACGAACTGACATCAGCTATAATACCAAAATACTATTTATCTATGTGGATGAATGAATTTTGCGCCCAAATTCAAGATCAGTTATCTTAAATTCGATTGAATCGTACATAAATTATAGTTTTGCAATCATTTTCAATACATTTTTAGTAATATCACAGAGCAGAATCCAGTCAATAAACACTTAAAACTTAGAAGCATCAAATAACTTTTATTTCAAGTTTAGGGTTTATAAGGGACATGTATTTAGAAAGCAGACCTAGAATGCAACAGTAATTGAAACAATTTAGAAAAACTTGCAAATTCTAGGGAATTTAATAATAATGTCGTTGGTTAGGTACTTAGTTTCCAATATAACATGGACTTTTGCTGGAACACTGGTAAACTGATCTCAAAGAAAGTAACTATGGCGCAGTGTAATATGATTCAGTAAGTTGGTTGATATGATGAAGAATATTTTAAGTGATTGGACAGTGATCTCCTACAATGGCTTACAATGATTAACTGCATTTATGTTCATAATTAAAATATTGCATGTATGTATTCTGTTTTATTGATTAAAAGCCTATACTCGTAACTAGTAGTTTTGTCTTTGATCCGAAATCATTAGGAGGCTTGCGTCAATAGTTCGGTTTTTTGTGAGGAGCCATTCCTAGTCTATTTCATATTAACGTATATGATCTGTCGATCGATATTCTTTTCTGTTTGTTTTATTAATTGTAAATTAATCCATCAAATTATGAAATCCTATTCAATAACAATATTCGATTTTGGATTCTATGAAGCACCTGTCCCGATATGTTACACCTTTTGTGGGTTCTGTTAATCATATTTCTATTCATAATAAAGGTAACTAATACATATTTTTGCTTTTAGAATATTTAATTTTAGCTTTCGCATACTTTTTGCTCACAAATCGAAATCACTGAATATGTTTCTAAACACTTTTAAACAGTTTACTACATCTAACCGTTCGATATTATTGCTAGTGAACCAAATCCTGCTGCTGTCCACTACGTTACTAGCTGATTAAATCTCAAGAATACATTTTAAATAATAGATGTGAACATTTGAAATCTGTCAATTAATCTATATCATTGAAATATTTCTTTGTATCTTGAAATCTATCTATAAGTTTATAGTAGTGTTCACAACATACTTACAATTACTTGATAAAGTAAATGGCATAAAGTTTAATTTTACAAATCAATCAAGTTAAATTTTCTGTATGGATGTAATTTCTCAAAATAATGCATAGTAATAGATTTTATTATTTTGAATGAATGTAAACAGTCAATTGTATATTGTAAATCTTTGTTTTTTACTAGTGTATAGAAATCAGTATGATAAAAATGATGTACTAGGAAAACCTTTAAAGTTTACCGTATTCAATAGAGTTATTATTGTCAAATCTATGAAAGAAACGTTACTGCTGATCATTGACAGCGTCTTTGTTAGTTGTCAATAAACCCTCAGTAATATATATATTGACGAAAAATGATTATATACAGTTGATTAATCACTAGGAAGTGATGAAACTCAGTTTTGTGTTTTCATAAGAGCTGATTAAACATTTTCAACGAAGATGTAATCAAACTACTGGTCTAATTTAATTGAGATAGTTTTAGAGAGCAGAGATTGTTAACCTGCATGAAACCTATGTCGAACAGGGTTTCCTGTTGGTTATTTCTAATCATCTAACAAACCCGATTATTTGTTTTTTTTTTAAAATAACAAATAATCGAAGTTTTTATTAATCAGCCAAATAGAAGCATAAACGTATTGATGCAAATATTACTGACAAATATTACTGGCTTTACTGTTAATCTTTTCTCATTCTATTCGCCAAATGTTGTTTATGTTCAATCTTACTGTTGAAATGTTGATGATTTAAAGTGTAATAGCTGCCGATAATCTGAAAGTGGATATTTTCCGTTTTTTAAAAGTGTTTTAAAACTTGTGTTGGAATCGTGTTCAGAAATATGATAATCATTGCTATAAAACTGAATTTGTTCTAAATGAATATGCTAACATGTGAGAAAGATATCAGTCAGAATTAAAATTAACTGCTGACTTTAAGAGATGCTGCAAGTGACCTTGATTTATTAAATATTAATAAGCCAATGAAAAAGCGCATAGCTAAGATGAAGAGCCTTCAAATGCCCAGGTATGACCGAGAGTGGGGAGAGTCAACACTCCCTCACAAAATGCTCTCACATGGCCACGTGCATACAACCACTGCCAGGGAAGTCCTACTCACTGACTTCTCGTGACGGGGGTGTTGTTTACAAAATTAAGACGACGAAAAACGAAAGTCCGGTGCTCTAACTGGGCCGGTGGGTACTGAGGGTTCACCTAAATGAGAAGGAAAACCCTGATTACAAACCAATGGTGCACATGGGTCCCAGTACCCTGAGGGAACAAATGTCTTATGAACCAATCGTTGATCACCGGCCACCATGGGACTGCATCTTCTGACTTTGCTTCACTGAATTTTGGATCAGGCTTCGGGTACGGCCCCCTAAGAAAATCACGTGCTTTGGTTTGAGCACCCAGACAGTATCCCAGCCCTCACACAAATCGAATGATTTATGTGTCGCATATCTATTCAGTGCCTTTTTGTGCAAATGTTCATGTGTTTAAATTAAATAAATAATAAAATAAAATGATACCTAAACTTTAATATAAACGTTTACTTGATTTATGAATTTTTATTATGAAAGATTTTGTTTTACTTTAAATCTATTGACGTTTGACAAAATAAATTATCTATACAGCCTTAGAAAAGTATTCTTTCCCCTTTTATCATTAGGAGTTAAATGGTTAAGTAGACTCTTCCACAAATTCCCTCAATCTCAGTGTGTAAAACCTCTCAAAAGTCTACGAAACGATTTAATGAACCTTGACGCGGTGGTCGGGCTTGCCTATCGTGATGACCCAACCGAGCTATATTGGCTGGAACATATGTTCCTGTAGGTTCTACCATGCCAGGCAGGTCGATTGGAGAACGGTAAGACTAAAAGCAGCAACTCAAGGTCTGAGGGCGAAGTCGTACTGCTGACTGTAGAGGGTGTGACAGCAGTAAGGTGTTTCCTTCGGACAACCAGCATGACAGCGATGCTGCCTTCCCACAAGGAGGGGTGGGGTTAGAAAAGGTCGACCCTAAAAATGTCACACCTCACCTTAC